ACTTTAAGAAAATTCTATTTCTAATATCATTGTTTTCTAATTCCTTTCATAAATATGTTATATTTAGTGCTTATTTTTTTTCTAAAGAGGATAATTACTTGTATTAGGGGTGTTCATATTCAATCCAATTCAATTAATCTGACCTAAACTGATCCAATTCAATCAAAAACTGATCTAAACCAATATAAAATTTGATTAATTTGAATTATAAAATTTTAAAACCGATATCATTGGTTTGGTTTGTAGTTTTATCTTCAAACTACCCGAACTGTCCGATTACAAAATAAAATCCGATTACAACATAACTTAATTAAATAATATAATATATTTTTTTGTAGTATTTTAAAATTTCTTTTTCTTCTTTTACAAGATAATAACTCCATTAACTTAATTAAAAAATAAAATTAAAACATCTCCATATTCCCTAAGTTATTTTTCCATTTTAATCATGCACTCTAACTTTAATTCTAAATTTCTAATTCATCTGCAACTCTATCCCCTCAGAACTAGTTTACGCCTTTACTCTTAGAACCCTAAATTTCTAATTTATTTTTAAAATAATCTTATAATTCTTCTAACTAAGTTTTAAATAAGTATCATTCTAAAAGTCTTAAAACTATATAATAAAATTAATCTTGATATTCTACTATTCTTGGATATTTAATTTAGAAGTTTTAAATTTTGATTATGAATGCTTCTAATAAATTTTAGTGATATTCATGTTAAATTTTATTCACTTATAATAGGATTTAAAAGATGAAATTAAATTATTAATGCATTAAGAAAAAAACTAATTTTAATTTTTAAGAATTATTTATATTATATTAGAAACTTGAAGTTATTTTTTATTGTTCTTGGTGTCTCTAGTGATGTAACCAAGAAGAATTTTTAGATCTTTTCAATTTTTACAAATGTAAAGGAGTATAAGAACTCGTTTATAATTTATACTTTTTATTATATTTTTACTGATTTACATGCTAATGTGTTCTATAGTTATACTTTCTATTCGATATTAAAATATTTTTACATTAATTTATATATTTAATAATGTTAAAAACTGATCAATTCGACTGAATTACACCGATCCGATTTAAATTGGATTGATTTGATTATCATATAATAATGGATTGGATTGATTTAAAAATTTTATTAACCGGTTAAATTAGATTGATTTAAAAAATATTAAAATTTAAACCAAACCACACCGCGAGCACCCTTCATATCATTATATATTTGATTTTATAAAAGATAGAATGTGAACTCTTCAAAATAAAAATTCAAATTTTAACATATAAGACATTTTTTATGGAGGTTCAAAATTTCATTTATAATACCTAATGTATAAT